TATTGGCATAAGAACAGAGAAGTCGACCTATGGAATCGAATAGAAGACCCAGATATTAACCCACAAACTTATGAACACCTAATTTTCGACAAGGGAGCTAAAGGTATACAATGGAAGAAGGACAGCATCTTTAACAAATTTTGCTGGCATAACTGAATGTCAACCTGTAAAAAAATGAAAGTAGATCCATATCTATCACCATGCACAAAAATCAAGTCCAAATGGATTAAAGACATCAACATTAATCCGTCCACTTTGAACCTGATAGAAGAGAAAGTGGGAAGTAGTCTACAAGATTTAGGCACAGGAGGCCTCTTCCTAAGCAGGACCCCAGCAGCACAGACAATAAGAGAAACAATGAATAAATGGGATCTACTGAAACTGGGAAGCTTCTGTAAAGCAAAGGACACTGTCAGTAGGACAAAAAGGCTGCCTTCTGACTGGGAGAAGATCTTCACCAACCCCTCATCAGACAAAGGTCTGATCTCCAAAATATACAAAGAACTCAAGAAACTAGGCACTAAAACTCTAATTAACCCAATTAAAAAATGGGGTACTGAACTTAACAGAGAATTCACAACAGATGAACTTCGAATGGCCAGAAGACACTTAAGGTCATGCTCAACCTCCTTAGCGATCAGGGAAATGCAAATCAAAACCACTTTGAGATACCATCTTACACCTGTCAGAATAGCTAAAGTCAAAAACACCAATGATAGCCTATGCTGGAGAGGATGTGGGGTGAGGGGAACACTCATCCATTGTTGGTGGGAATGCAAACTCGTGCAGCCACTGTGGAAATCAGTGTGGCGGTTTCTCAGGAAACTGGGAGTCAACCTCCCTCAGGACCCAGCAATTCCACTCTTGGGAATATACCCTAAAGATTCCCGATCATACTACAAAAGCATTTGTTCTACTATGTTCATAGCAGCACTATTTGTAATAGCCAGAACCTGGAAACAGCCTAGGTGCCCCTCAATAGAAGAATGGTTAAAAAAGGTGTGGAACATATACACATTAGAGTTTTACTCAGCGGTAAAAAACAATGACATCTTGAATTTTGCATGCAAATGGATGGAAATAGAAAACGCTTTACTGAGTGAGGTAAGCCAGACCCAAAAAGAGGAACACGGTATGTATTCACTCATAAGTGGATTCTAACCATAATTAAAGGTCTTTGAGCCTATTATTCGTGATCCTAGAGAAGCTAAATAAGAAGATGAACCTGATGAAGATTATTTAGCTTTCCACCAGGAGGTAGGAAATAGACAAGAGTCCCAGGTAACCTCGGATGCATGGGGGGGTGGGAGGGTTGATGGAAGGGGAGAGGGTTAGAGAGAAGGGAGTAGGGGAGGAATGGGGAAAGCTCGGTGGCCTGGGATGGGGGGGGGGAGGGAGGAAGGATGAATATGGGATCAGGGAAGAATATATTTCAACTAAGGGAGTCATTTTAGGGTTTACAGGAGACTTGATTATATATGGGATCCCAGGTCCAAGGAGAGATCCCCCAGATTGTTCTCTGGACAGAGGAGAGGGTGCCTGAATCGGGCGTGGCCCATAACCATACTGATGTATATTTTGCTTATTACCATAGATCCTTCATCTGGTGAAGGACGGCGATAAAGTCGGAGACCCACATTGGAGCACCGGACTGAGCCCTCCGAGGTCCAAATGAGGAGCAGAAGGAGGAAGAACATGAAAAACGAAATCAGTACTGCGAGGGATGCTATCACCCACTGATACAAGGAAACGGATCTAATGAGAGTTTACCAAGGCCAGTTGGACTGGGACTGAACGAGGATGTGATCTAACCAGATTCTCGGAATTTGGCCGGATTCTCTGAATGTGGCTGGCCCGAAGTCTTTCTGAAAAGCCATTGACTATGTATGATACTGGGACCTGTTTCCTCTGCATATTCTGAATTTTGGGGATCCAGTCTGTTTGGATACTCACCTTCCTGGACCTGGAGGGAGGGGGGAGGAACTTGAACTTCCCACAGGGCAGGAAACCCTGACTGCCCTAAGGGAGGAAGAGGGAGGAGGAGAGGGAGTCGGGGGAGTGGGAGGGTGTTGGGAAGAGGGGTGGAAATGGAAACTTTTATAATTTAATAAAATTTACTTTCAAAAAAAATAAATTAAAAAACAGAAAAAACAAGAGAAGAAAGAGAAAATTTCAGGCACCAAAGATGTGATAGAAGAAATAGATATATAAGTCAAAGAAAACGCTAAATCTAAAAAATTCCTGACACAAAACATCCAGGAAATCTGTAACACTATGAAAAGACCAAGACCAAGAATTATAGGAATGGAAGAAGGAGAAGAATCCCAACTCAGAAGACAAGAAAGTATTTTCAACAAAGTCATCGAAGAAGATTTTCATAAAATAAAAAAGAAAATGCCTATAAATATCACTTAGCTAAAACAATGTGTCAAGGCCAACTGTTCTGACCAATTCTTCTCCCCACAGTTTTCCATCAGACTTATAATGTTTTCAGGAGAATCCTCTTAGCCTTCGCCCCTTCAGATCCATTGAAAGGCAGGTCCACACTACAACCCTCTTCCTAGAACCTCTCATTTCTTGATGTGTGGTCACCTTACATCTCACTAGATCTACTTCCAACTTTTATCTCCCAAGCAACTTCATAAATGTCATCACCATCCTGAATCTCCTGAGACCCACTTGCATGGCTGGGTCTACATTTCTAACTTAGCCAATCTTTCTTAACACATTGGCCAAAGCATGATGAGGCAAGCTTACATCAAAGTGATGAAATCTCTGCGTTGGGCCTCAGATCCATCTGATGGTATTTTAAAACTTCTGGTTGATAGAAGATAGGGGATTGTTTGTATTTTCTGAACTACTTATCTCATAGTCTCACAGTTGTTAGGTCAAACACAGAAGTGGACAAAAATGTCTATTTAGAGGCTAAGATAGCTCAAGTAACTTGAGGGACATACAGCATTCTAACTCTCCAAAATAATCAGAATTCTAATCAATCAGACTCACACAAAGCTTACGGTAAGTTCAGCCTGTTCCCCCTGGAAACCAATTAATCATTTCCAGTTCTTTTTTAGGTCAGTCCTGCCCCACTACCAAACATAGACTTTCAACTTCACTTCTCGGTAAAAGTTCATTTCCTAGAATTGTTATTTAAACCACAAATGAAAGTAGCCCTGTCAGTCAGCTGGATGTCTGCTAATTAATAGCTCAATGTTTTTTTGCAAGCTATTTTTCCCTAAGCTTTCCTGTTGCATTTATTTATTTATTTATTTATTTATTTATTTATTTATTATCACTTTCCAAATGTATACTCCACTGAAACTTTGAAGTCAGAAGACTTGGCACAATCCTTTTTTTTTCCTATTATGCTCAGGGCATTGTGAATGCTTCCCTGGTCTTCAGTAACACTGTTTGTGGAGACTGGCATATTTTGTACAATGGAGCCAGGATTCAAGGAAAAAAATGGCTTTAATATTTTGGGATGGTTTTTGTTCCAAAAATTACAGACAACAGCTATGCAAGAAGCCAGACCAAATGCTTATAAGAAACAAAGAGTCTACTCTGGGGACATCCAAGTTCTTTTCCGGTAATCTACACACTTTTCCTAGATAGGTGGTTATTTGTTCTATAGAGAAATATCTGAATTCATCTCCTAAAGTAAGTGTGGCAATAAAAAGAATCTCACATTCAAATAAAAGGTGTTCAGCTATAAACCTCACAGGAATGTATAAAAAATATTATTCTCTTATGGAATCACTTGATCTTTCTTACAGTTTTCTTCCAATCCAACCATATTCTCAAGGGGAGAACATTTAATTACTTACAAACTCACAGTCCATTCCCAGTTTTAATCACCCTGATAAATGCCCTTTTCCCTACTTTGGAAAAAATGTCTCCATATTCCCCCATATCCATCTTCCAAACCCCAGTTCTAAAGGTTTTCTTTCAGGAAGATGTATTTCTGTCCTCAGGTCTGGGCTTCTTAACCATATGTAGACTTCTTCCTTTTGTTATCCCACACTCTTGGGCCTTGTATATATCCCCAGACATCTTATCTTTTTCTTCACTGAAGAATCTTGGGGTAGAGCACAGAGCTCTGGTTGTCATGAGCCCACAAGTATTATTCAATGAATGCACAGCTGACAGATCAATAGACAATCCATGGGAAGTGTACACGTTCACACCCACATGGGATAACCCATTTTGCAGCGCTATGGGAACACCTGTCTTCTGAATAAGTCACTGTCAGTCCTGTAAAAACCTCGTGAAATCATGGCATTTCTCCTTCAATAGTATCCCAGCAGTGTATAAACCTGACTTTTCCTATAGTGCAACCGGACACCTTCCCCCGAGTGCAGCCCTTGTATGAAAGCATTCAGTCAGTCAAACCTTTGTTCTTATAGCCAAATTCTACATAAAACTAGTCCCTCACAAGTTTGTTGAGAGAACTCACTAATAAGAAAGGAGCCCCAAACAGGAGGCAATATGTTTGCTCTAACAACAGATTCAGGAAGGTGTTATCTACTGGTCTTCTGATCTAACTTAACAAACGACTCATATTTTGCACTTATCCTTCACCTTGGTTTTAACTAACATAAGATCACAGCCCAGGAAATTAACTGTTTAGATAGGAAAAAGGCCTGAGTCACTTACTTCAGAGAGAAAAATTCTCATTTGGCCACCCTGTTGAAGTCAAAAGCAAAGTCCCCGAAAGAGGTTCCATTTAACTCAACTGTATAAATGCTAATGGAAATCAAGCCTGCAGGGGCAGATTAGTATAGCTACCAACACAGCCACACTATCTGAGACATAAGGTGCTTCCTTACCAGATCCGCCAGTTTTGTGACTCTGTGAACTGCATGCTTGATACTATTGCTAACACTTATGGGATTGCTGACTTGTCTGTGTGCCCATATAGACTGAAAACTTTATGGAGATCCCTCTTTATGCTGCTTCTTCTCCTTCCTTTCTCTTTCCAAAGTATAGAGAACGTGCAGCAGTTACGTATGTGAGTTATTTTATTTTACCCTCAGATCTAATTAGCCAGGCCTTTGCCTTCCATAGTTTATCTTTCTGGACCATGAGAGGTTCAATGGGCTTAACCCACAAATGAACCTTCATTTCTGGTGAACTAATTTCCCTCAGCAGCGGAGTGTGGAGTCAGTGCTCAGCATGGATGGAGCAGTGCTGTGTAGGGAGCCCAGTGAACAATCTCCTTCTTCAAGGCTCCTCCCAGGTTCGGCGTCTCTGAAAAGTGGGAAGCTGATGTAAGCTGTTATTTAATAAAGGGATTTATCAGAGCAAACAACAGTGCTGTCGGAAACTGAGGAAAGTTCAGACATTCAGCCATGTTTTCACGCCACAGGCACTGTAGACTGTGCAGCATCACTTGCATTTGCATTATATGGGCTTGGCATTGGTGCTTGGCATTTCTCCTTCAGATTCAAGCTATGCCTAGTTAGGATATATCTTTGGGAGAGGCTGACAAAGATGTCCACTAGCAAACAGACCCTTGAATTTTTTTTGAGTGAACATTATGGATTTAGATGATATTTTGAAGTATGTTCATGTATGAGAGCAACTAAGTCTCAGTGTTCATTGACTAGATTGTAATTACTTGGGACCTCTCTTTCTTATCTTCCATCCACGACCTTCTCATAATTGTACCATCTGGAAAAGAAGGAGAAGTGAATACTATAGTCCTGGCTGTTTCAGGACTCCAACTATTATCACTTATAAAGACATGTAAGTGACCTGAAGCCGGTCCCAAGAGGGATGGTGGTGGGCAGCAGTGGGCCACCCTCAAGGGATCTCCTGGCAGGTGGCGTGAGGCCTCAGTGGGAGACAGACAGATAAGGCATGCAGAGAGAATTTGGGTATAGAGTTTATTTAGTGGTTTATGGAGGGGAAAGTGTAGGTGGGGGGAGGAGAAGGGGGAAAAAGAGAGAGATGCAGTAGTTGTGCCTTCAGAAGAGTCACTCAAAGAGAGGAAGCAGGCTGGAGAGAAGGCAGGAGACCCAAGGGAAAGTTGGGAGTGGGCAGGGATTGTCTTAAAGAGACAGGGTTCTCAGGTAGCAGACCAGGCCAGCAGATTACAACAGTCTCATTTTTTCTTATCATAAAAAGGCAGGGAGTTAGACACAGCAGGTTAAAGGAATTGGGGTGATGGATTCTTAAGAATGTTTCGTGCTTACTTATGAACATGAAAGTCTTTCTTAGGGTGTGGCTGAGAAAGGTGGGTGCTGGTCACATCCTGGGGTAGTTGGTTGCTTTATTCCTGTCCAGGATTTGTGGTATGGAACAATCTGGTGTCTCTTGGACCAATTTAAAATATGAGACTTGTTGTTTTCTCAGTCTGGAATGAGATACAATGAACAGACAATTGTTACATTTAATAGTAAATATGTATACGTTTACAGCCAGTTGAATTTAAGTTTTATATACATATGAACAGAGTTAAAGCTAACTTAGGTTTATACATAGTTAACCCAAGTCACATGCATGCACACACACACATGCTACACACACATACACACACACACACACACACACACACACACACACACACACACTCAACAGGAGTTGGACGAAATGGATGCTTTGGTGGACCTTACTGAAAGCATGCCACTGTGCAAAACACACATGTAGAAAAGTTAGTAAGAGGAATTTAGAGACAAAAATATAAGTAAACCATGAGACTAGGCAAGGAATACCTCAGTAAAGATGGCAAGACTTGGTCACTTGATCTGTTCTTAGTAAAGACCGTGGTGAGGTCACCTGACCTTAGTTAAAATGAAGGCAGTCATGTGTTGTATGGTGAGACCACATTTTTTGAGCTGCGGTGGGAATTTTACACAGATAAAATTAACAAGAGGATGTAGAGGCCAAGTAGAACATACATTTAAAACAGAATTACATTCATGTGGCCACACCATTCACACATTCTTTCATATGTGAAGTAGACAGGAAAATTGCTTAGCACCATGAGCCACTGTGTCCTCGATCTGCTGCACCACTGGCTGTGGCTGGGAGCGAGAGCTGGAACTGGAAGCAGTTGCCTTGTGAATTCAACTAATCTTGCCGTTTTCTGCAGGACCAGTGGTAGCGATGGCAAAGAGAGAATAGAAGGAATAGGAATGAGAAAAGGAATATAAGCAAGAAAAAGAACATTTAGAGGCAGATGGGGATGGGTTGTACAGCAAAAGGAAAAGCAGTAGGTGTGAGATGTCTGCAGGACACTGGCAGTCCTGTTTGCTGGTAGATTTGCTTTAGGTTGCTATTTAAAAGCATGTAGGCCATTTATTAGTGCAAAGGTGGGTAAGGCTAGGAATGTCTAAGTAAGGCTGGAGTTTTAGGGTCTGTAAAAGACATACTGGGGGGAAGTTGGATGGATAGTTTTTGAAAGTTTGTTTCCCATGGCTAAAAATGTGAGAAAGGCAAAAATCCAAAGGCAACGGATCAGGATGTCTTTGGAATAGTGTGAGGGTTGAGAGCTAGGCCAAGCCAATTTCAAGGCCATCAGTACAGGAATTGGGGGCCGGAAAGGACCACTTGTGAGTGATTCTATAGAGGTCAAAGAGTCCAAACATCGGCGACAGGACCACTTCAGAGTGATTCGAATAAAGGACAAAAAAGTCGGATTAGTGGTGGCAGTGGTAGTGGCAGCAGTGCCAAATCCCAGTCTGTAGCCATGAGAAACAACCAGAGGTGAATGTGAGTGAAAGACGATTTAGAGAAGGGAACCTTACCATTTGCAGCAATGGAACAGACACAGAAGGTTGAAAGTGATCCAAAGTCCAGAGTCTCCACCTGTCCTCAGTCAGCAGGAGGGAACATAGAGAGAGCCTGGCTGAGTCATGCACCAATGTTATCATTTATAAAGACATGTGAGTGATGCAAGGTTGGTCCAATGAGTGGCAGCGGTGGGTCACCTGAGGTCTCAGCAGGGCAGCTGCAGGCCATCCAAGGACTCAGTGGGTCTCTGGTGGGTGGCCTGAGGCCTTGATGGGAGACAGACAGATGTGTCATGCAGAGAGAGTTTAGGTTTAGAGTTTATTTAGTGGTTTATGGAGCGGAAAGAGAAGGCAGGGGAAAAGGGAGAAGTGGGGAGAAGAGAGAGAGGCGAGGGGAGGGGTAGAGAGGTAATAGTTACCTCTTCAGAAGAGGGGCAGGAAGAGGGAGCACAGGCTGGAGAGGAGGTAGGAGATCCAAGGAGGAGGTTGTGAGCAGTTGGAGCTTGTCTCTTAAAGGGACAGGGTACCCAGGTGACAGATTAGGTTAGCAGATTATAACACCAAAATCTTTTTGTTGTTACTGTTATTGTATGTTGAATTTTCAAATCATAATTCCACCTCAATGAAAAAGATTCTTGAATAATATTCTTTAAAGCATCTCAAGAGATGCTAAACTCTTTGCTAAACTGTGGGGAGACAGGCAGACTGAAGACGTTCTCAGTGGCTTCTATTCAAGGAGAAAAGGAACTTCAGTTCTGTGTTGTTGTCAAGGTTTCTGTCCTGCCCAGTTCCCGCAACCATTAAGTCCCAAAGAAATCACACAGAGGTCTATATTAGTTATAAACTGAGTGGCTTCTTACTAACGCTTATAACTTATATAGTCGATTATTAGCCAATTATTCTTATTTATGCTAGCCACATGGCTCAGTACCTCATTCAGCGGGGCAGTCACATCTTGTTTCTTCTGTGTTCAGGTCAGGACTGCAGAGGAAGGGGCCTCCTCCTTCCCAGAATTCTCCTGTTCTCATTGACCCACCTCTACTTCCTATCTGGTTGTCCCATCTATACTTTCTGCCTGCCAGTTAGCCTTTATTTAAAATATAATTGATTGAATACAGGCCAGTGTCCTGTGGGATCTCCTTCTGCTCCTTCAGGCAATAGCCTTTAAGATACCAGCCCACTTGGGAGTGGGATCTTTTGTTTTAAAAGAGGTGGCATCCCTGCTCTCGCTCTCTTGCCTCCTTTTAAATAAATAACCCTTTTATTAATCATAATTCCAAACTGGTGTGGGATTGTTTTGTGACTTATGCCTTCAACTGGCATCCAAAATTTGGTTTTAGAACCCCCTGGCTCAGCTGCCTGCTGCACCCAGCTTGGCATGAGCTCTCCCTCAGCCAGCCATGGCCTGTGTGTGGAATCAGCAGTTCAATATAGAATCTCACACAGCAGCTTTTCTTGCTGTGGATCAGTTGCAATTCTTTATATTTTCTCTTTACATGCCTTGGATTGGCTTCAAGTTCCCATGTATCTTCTGCCAGGATGCACCACAGAAATCTGGGGGGAGATGCAGGCTTCCCTGGTCTGAGCCAGCTGTTCCGCAGCTTTCTAACGATTTGTTTGCATTTGCCTATTTCACTGCTCTAAAGACATCTGCAGAGCACACAGTCTGTGATTTATCTTTCATCATTTCACTCTAAAATCAGATTTCAGACTGGCCACGTGAACTCACATGCACTGCTATGCCCCACTGGGTTAGTTTTATACGTGGCCCATGATACCTATTGACAGGTAATGATTATTGCACCTAATTCAGCTAATTAAGCCACCATTAAGATTTAATATCCTAACTATAGATCATAAGTTGCTAATTTAAAAGGTCAATATATTAGACAACCTAAACATCCAAGTTTTAAATAACCTCTTTACCTACAGCATGTGTGCGGTTTTACAAGACTTATATGATGTCGCTTTTACATCATTAAGCTTAATTCTGGGGATTAGTTTTGTCCTCGATATTTTTTTCTTAAAAAATGGTTTGACAATAGGGCTAATAATGAGGCATTTTTTTAGAAATGATGTAGTCTTTACAGGCTGAAACCACATTTCTCAAGAAAGAGTTTGAAAATCTCAAGAAGTATACATCTCCATTTAATGGAAAATTAAGCACCCTGGGGAAGAAAACAGATGATTTGGCACATATAACCCAATCAATGAGAGTGGGTGCTGAAACATTACTTGAGAGAATTTACACTGTTGAATGTATTAATCAGACTCTGTCAAAGAGGTATGACAGATTGACTGAAGGAAGGTCTCTACAGGATGGTAATACGCTATAAATATTATGTCCAAGGATGAGACATTATCTCTATTGGACAGACTTCATACCTCGGAATCATCAATGAGGGCATTAGCGCAGAACAGGACAGGAAATCCAGATATTACAAAAGGCAATGGTAAACAGATTTGAAAAAAAATTGAGGAAATTATCGAATTTGATGACCAGGAACAAAAGGTACAAAGCTAAAATTTAACCTCATCGATACATAAAATTCTCCAGGATAGCTTCCTCAGAGTTCTGCCTGCCTTCCCAGTAATAACAACAGAAAAAAGTATCTGTCCCCAAGTACCCTAAGGTTGTCAAAGAATATACATGGGAGCCCATACGTATGATATGATGTGACTAATTTAAGGAAATTAGACAAGCAATTGTAGCTTACAGACTATATTCGTCCTTTGTTAGGAAGATGGTCAAAACCTGGGCTTTCAGTACCAAAGCAATGCCTCAAGACTGTGCTCCGTTAATCTCAGTAGTCCTAGAAAGTAGACAGCAATTACTTTGGAGGTGCTTTTTAAAAGAGGAGCCAAGAATTTTAGAGCAACTGGAAAAAGCAAACGGACTTGAGATTTTCTGAGATCAAATTCTAGGCGAAGGACCTGACTCTGATGCTAAAGATCAAGCTCTTTTTGATGACCACACCTTGTCCCTATGTAGCACAGCAGCTTTAAAGGCCTGGGACAGGATTTAGGAACCAGAAAAGAGAGTGGAATCATATATTAGGGTTAAACAGGGTAAGAGAGAATCTTTTAGTGACTTTTTGCAAAGACTAACAAGGGCTATATAAATTGAGGTAACTGACCCAGCAGCTAGACATATAATAGTTGAATCTTTGGCTTATGAGAATGCCAACATTGAGTGTAAACGGATCCTTGGGCCTTTAAAGATCAGATCAGCACCCATGGATGAATGGGTCTTGCATACAATGAATGTTGAGACACTTGACTATGGTACTGAAGCATGGGTAGGAGAAGCAATTTTCAATGTTAAGAGAAGACATCAAAATACCAAATGTTTTAATCGTGGTAGAATGAGATATCTGAAAAGGGATTGTTGACAACGGATTTCTAAAAATAATATCTCCTCTGGGAATGACAGAAATAGGAGGACTCAGCCTTCAGGTGTGTGTAGAAGGTGTGGCAAAGGGCAACATTGGATCAATGAATGTAGGTCAACAAAAGATGGACAAGGCAACCCGATACCATCGGGAAACACCATGGGGGGGCTTTTGCTACCCCCCATGATGAATGTGGTCCAGTCATTCCCAGTTTGGATGGAGAATGTGTCTCACCAAGAAAATTAAAAAATCCAATGCCAGCTGTTAAAAGCAATACTGGTCTGAATGATGGGTTAAATGTGGAGGATGGGTCAAAAACTCTAGTAGGACTGAGGAAACGTATATTTTGGCAGATTTCCATAAATGATCAAAAATCAAAACTAAGAGTTTGAATAAATGACCTTTTTTGAAGGCTAATTAGACAGGGTGCTCATGTAAGTATCATTACTGCAGAATCTTGGCATCTAAATTGACCTCTTCAATAGGAAGATGTTCATTCATTTCCTAGGAATTGGAACCCTATCTTGTGTAAAACAAAGCAAGAGATGGGTTGAATGCATAGGGCCAGAATGGCAAATAGGAAAACTAAGGTTATATATGGCCAATACTGCAATAAATTTGTAGGGTTGTGACCTATTGCAGCAATGGAATACCCAGGTTAACTTTCCTGCAGCTCTCAAAACTTATGTTTCTGAGGAAAATGTTAGAAAATATTATAGACGATGGACACCTGCCAGTTGGGCTGTACAAGAACACAAAGCAATTGATAACCCTTCAGAGGTACCAACAGCCCTACATTTAAAATGGTTAACTGAGAAACCAATATGTGGCCTCTATCTGAGGAAAAGTTGCAGACTTTGGAACAGCTGGTAAAAGAGCAACTAGAAGCTCGGCATACAGAAGAATCTACCAGCCCTTGGAATTCTCCTGTATTTGTTGTTAAAAGAAATCTGGAAAATGGAGAATGGTGACAGATCTAAGGGCTATCAACAAGGTTATTCAACCTATGGGCCTTCTACAATCTGGAATTCCTCTGCCTTCTCTGTTACCAAAGGGATGGCCTCTCATAGTTATTGATTTAAAGGATTGTTTCTTCACTATACCATTACAAGAAAAGGATAGAGAAAAGTTTGCCTTCACAGTGCCTTCTTATATTCTCAGCCTACCGGAAGATATCAGTGGACTGTCCTTGCACAGGAAGTGCTCACTTGCCCCACCCTGTGCCAATACTTTGTCAGTCAGCCATTGGAAATAACTCGTAAGCAGTTTCCTAAGTCTACAATCTACCATTACATGGGTGACATTTGTTAACTGATTCAAATATAGATACTTTAGAAAGGATATTTGAAGAAGTAAAGAAAGTCTTGCCTAAATGGGGATTACAAATTGCTCCTGAAAAGATTCAAAAAGGAGATTCTACTGATTACCTAGGTTACAGAATGCGTTTACAGAAAATTAGAACACAAAAGGCACAAATTCAGAGAGACTGGTTGCGGACTCTTAATGACTTTCAAAGATTATTAGGAGACACTTCTAGTCTACCACTGGCTGTTGGGATAACACCTGATCTAATAATTCATTTAAACAAAACCTTAGATTGTAATGAAGACTTGAATAGTCCCAGAGAATTAACAGCTGAAGCGGAAAAGTGATCGATGATTGTTCAGGAGAAATTACAGGAGGCACATGTGGATAGGGTGAATCCAAATCTTAATTGTATTCTAGTTATTTTGCCTTCCAGAATTTCTCCTACAGAAATTTTAATGTAGAGGGATGAATTTACCTTAGAATGGATCTTTTCACCACATAAGCTAAGTAAAAATGCCTGTGAAAAGTCTCTGAATTAATTATAAAAGGTAAATTGAGACTTTGTCAATTAGCAGGTATAGACCCAGCCGAGATCATAGTGCCTTTTACTGCTGATGAAAGGAAAAAGTTATGGGAAGACAATGAACCCTGGAAAAGGGCTTGTGCTTTTTTTTGGGG